AACGAGTTGGAACCAACAAGACAACAGTGGGCTTAATCTGCTTTATCACATTCTCTAGAAATCAATGTTGAAAGAGTCTACCATTAGAATAGCATTTTATCTTTATTGCTTGGGTGCTGTCTGGAGCCTGCCTTACCTAAGGATACTTGTCTCCCACAGCTCATTTATAGGGTGGTATTAATAAATTCAGAATTCTCTAACTATATATCAGTTATAAAACTACAGTTTAGAAACTGACATCAGGGTTTTTTCCAGTCTGCAAAACAGTTTATTTTGCTTAGAATTTTTTGTTTCCTTTCTTTAGTCATGTAAAGTAATTTAAACTGTTTGTTTACTAGCAGAGGAAATGCATCCCTCCTAGATCACCATTTACCTCTCTGAAACGGTTTTCTCCACTCATACTTGAATTGTAGCTTAATCTGCCTGTTTGCCAGGAGGAGAGGTACAGCTTTCCAGAGTTGGCCTTTATCTTTTCAGGGCCTATTTTTCTCAGTCATGTGTTAACTATTCTGTAGGTTGCCTGTTTACTGGAACCTGTGAGTGAATTGTTTTGTGGTTTTTTTTTAGGTTTTATTTTTGTTTTCAGATGTCGAAGTTGATTGATTTATGAACAAAGGTGCACTGTTGGGTGAGTTGGTGTCTAAACCTGGTATGAAATCCTAATGACCATTCCCAGACAGGGAGGCAGTCTCTGAGAAGGATCTCACTGCTTTCTCCCAGATATGTAATAAAGTGCTTATGGATATTGCAATCTGCCTGTCTTATTGGCAACTGAATCTTTGTCTTCTTGATATTGAGTCTCAATCCATATTGAAGGCTGCAGTCGACCCTCTACAGCAAGTGCTTCAGGTCCTCCTCAGTTTCAGCAAGCAGGGTTGTGTCATCTGCTAATACAGATTGTTGATGAATCTTCCACTAGTCCTGATGCCACACTTCTCCTCACACAGTCCACCTTCCCGAATAATCTGCTCTGCATATAGGTTGAAAAGGTATGGAGATATGACATATCCCTGGCGTACACCCTTCCCAATTTTGAACCACGAAGTGTTTCCTTGCTCTGTTCTGACGACTGCCTCTTGGTCCAAGTATAGGTTTCTCACTAGCATAATCAAGTGTTCTAGGATTCCAATTCTTCTCAGAGTCAGCCACAGTTTGTTATGATCCACAAAGTCAAATGCCTTTGCATAATCAATGAAACAAAGATAGACATTCTTCTGGTTCTCCTTGCTTTCAGCTAAAATCCATCTAACATTAGCTACAGTATCCCTAGTACAACGACCCCTTCCAAACCCAGCCTGGCTGGCAGTTTTCTGTTGATGTGCTGGTCCAGTTGCTTTTGGATAATCTTCAGCACAATCTTATTTGAATGTGATATCAATGATACTGTTCTATAGTTTCCACATTCTGTTGGTTACCCTTCTTTTGAATGGGAACAAATATAGATAGATCTCTTCCAGTCAGTTGGCCAAGTGGTTATTCTCCAGATTTCTTGGCACAACTTGATCAGCACATCTAGGGCAGCATCTGTTAAATGAAATATGTCAATTGGTATACCATATACTCCTGGGGCCTTATTTTTTGCTAATTCCTTCAAAGCAACCTGAACTTCTTCCTTCATCACCATAGGCTCTTGCTCATATGTTGTTTCCCGAAATTCTTCTGTGTCTGCCAATTCCTTTCGGTACAGTGGATCATTTAATATTCTGCCTAAAGCATCCTTAATTATAGCAACTTGAGGTTTGAATTTGTTCTTCAGTTCCTTGAGCTTAAGAGATGTTGAGCGAGTTCAGTCTCTTTGATTTTCTGACTCCAGTTCCTTGCATATTTCATTGTAATATTTTACTTTGTCTTCCTGTGCTGCCTTTTGAAATCTTCTGTTCAGCTCTTTGACTCTCTTGAATTCTTCCTTCTGCTTTGGCTTCTTGGCACTCCAATGCAATCTTTAGAGTCTCTTCTAACATCCATCCTGGTCTTTTTTTCCTCTTCTGTCTTTGTAATGACCTTCTGTACTCTTCCTGGATGATACTCTTGTTATTCTCCCACAACTCATCTGGTCTTTGCTCATTGGTGTTTAAGGCCTCAAATCTGTTCTTGAGATGGTTCTGAAATTCAGGTGGGATAGACTCAAGGTTGTAGGAAGCCATCCTGAGTAGATCTTAACTCTGCCACTGATAACACTTTTTGACATGCAGCTGCCACCCCTGTCCATCTCTGGGACTATGCCTACCTCTTAAATCAGCACCAAATCAACACCTTGGGGCATGCCCCTCCCTCTCTTTTGTAAACTGATAACTTAGGGCTGGGTTCCCTGGCAGCCCGGCCTACTCCGCTGCCTATTTAGAGCAGAATTCATTAGATAAATTTGGGCTTGATCAGGAATCTTTGTCTTGCCCCAATCTCTCGTATCTCTGCTCCTCTTTTAATCCGCACAGGTTCCACTCTAGAACACGTATGAACCCGCAGGTCGGTTTCAGCCGGCGGTTACACAAGGTCATATTTTGATCCCCGTGGATTTGATTTTATTGTCCTTAACTTTAGCTTGAACTTGCTACTGGGTCAATTGGCAGCATTATTATAGATAGTAAAGCAACTGAGATTGTTGACAGCTTTAGTTTGCTTGGCTCCACAGTCAACACTCTTGGCACCAGCAGCCAGGAAATTAAAAGGTGTATTGCCATGAGAAAGTCTGCTGTTAGGGACCTCTTCAAAATACTGAAGAGTAATGGTGTCATTCTGGAGATTAAGGTGCACCTGATACAGGCCATGGTCTTAGCAAACACTTGCTATGCATCAGAGAGCTGTACAATGACTAGCGAGAATAGAAGGAGGATTGATGTTTTAGAACTGTGGTGTTGGAAAAGAGTATCCAATATACTATGAACTGCTAAGAAAATGAACAGGTTCATCCTGGAGAGGGTTAAACCAGGCTGCTTCTTGGAGGCAAGGATTCTGAAGGGTCCTCTGACATTCTTTGGACATGTTGCAAGGAGGGACCAGTCCTTGGAGAAGGACATCATACTTGGGAGGGTGGAGGGGAAGATCCTCTATGAGGTGGATTCATTCAGTTACTGGGACAATGGGGGCAAGTGTGTCAGAGACAGTGAGATTGGCAAAGGACAGAACAGGGTTTAAGGCTGTTGTACCTAGGGTCTCTATGAGTCATGAGCAACTTGACGGCACATAACAACAATAATTAGCAACTAACTACAGAAAGAACCCCTTGTGTTCAGTAACATCATGAGTGTTCTTTTGGCAGTAGAGACACGAAGGAGGGGAAGGGGAAGGTAAAAGAGAAGAGAGTGGAAAAGTGAAAAGAGAATAGAAAAGAGATGAGGAGAGAAACAAGGGCAGAGGAGAAAGAGAAAGAGTGAGTGGGCAGAGGTAGACTTAATAAGGAGAGGAGGAAGGAGAGGAAAAAAGCAGAATGGGAAAGAGAAAAGAGAAAGTAAAAGCAGACAAAGTGAGGGAAAGAGGAGAGAGAGATAAGGGAGTAAGAAAGAAAAGGGGTAGAGATACGAAGGGGTAGTTAGAGAAGAGAGAAAAGGAACGAGGGATGGAGGAGAGCATATGAATATAAGAGCAGGGAAAGAGGGAGACTGGCTGGCTCCTTCCCTGAGTAATAGTCATTTGGGCAGTTTCAGCTTTATCAAAACAAAATCTCTCAAGTAAACCAAATCTCCCACTGCAAATAAATGGCAAATGATCAACAGGCTAAATAAGTTCCCTTTGAATGCGGGAGCCTGGGAGCTGGAGGTTGGATTTATTTCCCTCCTGGAGGCAATTTTCACACATGCCGCTTAAATCACTGCTTACTGAAGCTGTTTATTTAATTATTTAGCTTTGTGACTGCCGGGCCAGATGTTATATAAGCAAGGCCGACAACCCAGTCCCCACCAAAACAACATGTTTATGGATTCTGGGCTCCACCAATGCATAGTTCCTTCAATCCCTCAGTCCCTCTTTTGGAGGATGATGGTCTATGGTACCCACCAGCCCTGAATCTCTAGACTCTGGGTGGGGGGTGGGGAGGGAGCTGACCTCCATACCCAACAGAAAAGCCTCCAGGCTCTAAAGCACCTGTTTCTTTTGGCTTGTTTATGAGCTGGGCTCCAGATATTTCAGTCACATTTCAGGGCATTTGGGCAACTGGCTTCTCAAAATGCCCATCTGCACACTTATTTCTTAGCCCTGAAGCCAAACAAATGGCATTTTCTGTCTGAAAGTATAACAATGTCATTCAGACATATACCCCTTTCCACGGTGTGGGTACATTACACAGCTCTTAACTGTTTAGACACTACAGAGTGAGAACTGATCATACCACCTAACACATTACTGCAACCATGATACTCATGTTTATCATCATAATCATTATTATAACTAACCAAGTCCTTGTTTAAATTTCAGGAATATGCAGCTTTAAACCCAGTGGGTGCTCTCCACAGCTGTTAGAAACAGAACTGCTCTATTAAAAGGAAACATATAAATATAGTGAGTGGAGATACATCTGCATATTGCAATTGCATTAGGTTCAAAGCCAGCATGCAAGGCAAAAACAGGGTGGGGATTCAGACCACTGTAAATCCCTTCTATAACCCATAAAGTATGGTATATATGGTTTTGTGCAAACTCTGCTTTCTCTCCAATCAATCCACCACAGCCAGTTTTTCCTTCGGCATCAGAGCAGAGACCCTTCCTCGGCTGAGCGCCAGGTAAAGCAGCTGGCTTATGTTTAGAGGCCATCTTATATTGACAGAAAGATGCCAAGCCCTACCCACCAACAAGTACTGTTCTATTTGCATAAGTCAAATGTGTATATATTATAGAATTCTATGTTTTAATAGCATTGTAGAATGCATGTCACATTCTTTTTCTCAACCCAGTTAAACGCGCTAACACAGATTCTTTTTTTTAGTTCACATGGTATTTGATTCAACCCTCAACATGTTCTGAGGGCCCACTGCTTAGCAGGCATTACGGCAAGGTCTCTCTGTTCTTACCTGTTATCAGCTGAGTTAGTACTTTAGTCTGGTCATTGAGAATGTTCACTGTAACATTTCTGGCAGATTTGAAGTAGAGCGCATTACCCTACAATTAAAAGGAAAAAAAAAGACATATGAAAATGGAAGTAGATTTCCAAACAAATCAAAACCCTTATAATACCAATTCTCTGAGATAACACTGGTCGTAGTCAAGTTACAGCTAATCTGGTTTTAGTTGGAAATTCCCAGTATTTAATGATCTACACATATGTAACACCTAAGATACATCTCCAAAAATGTATTTTGTCGAAAAAAGACAAGCAGACATGTACAGATACAGACACACTCAATATAGATTTTTTAAAAGAAAATACAAATGCACACAGAGATTACCATAGCCAAATCAGAGACAACTGGGGTGTGATGACCTTTAGAACTGAATGCACATACTATCAGTCAGACTTGGTACATAGAATGACCAGATCAATCCTGGCATCTACGGGGACTTTCCTAAGAGAAAGAGTGGCTGGAGAGCAGCCATGGCAGTATTTTATCATATATACACTGATAATCTGGAAACCAGAGACTACGAGCTAGTATTAACTGCTAAAATAAATAGACTGACTCAGGTCTCAGTAAGCAGCCATCCTCCTGGGTGAGAGCTACACCCATTGTTCAGAAGAGAGATGATGACCTCTGCCCCTTCAGGACAACCTCTGATTTCAGTGCAATGCCACGCAGGAATTTAAAATGAAAACTTCACACAAATAAGCTTCTATTATTGGGTAAAGTATGAAATAGTACTAGTAGCCCTCATTCCAAAATAATGGCTAATTCTGTGCCAAACTAAGTTAGACTAAGATGATTATCTGTTTTCTATTAACTATCTCAAAGTATAGTCTTTCTTCCTTGCAACATGATGGTAGCTAGCTGCTTGGGGGAGGAAGGGCAGGGGGAGGCTGTGGTATTAGGCAGCCTCACTCTACTTCCTCCACTGCCATATGATTTGATTATTATTATCTCCTAGTAAAATCTGGTAGGCATGAACTGTAGCTCTATATGACCACTCTCCTTAGTGGGTGGCACAGCAGATCGAAGGTCAAAGTCAGACTGGCCCCTCTGGATACAGTGGTGTTCATTGTTCATTTTTCAAGTAAGTTTTCCTGAATCAATGTCCTCTAGCTTGATTCACTTCTGGTTTGACTTTTTTTTTTTTTGGTGTTTCTGTGAATGTTTATACTGAAAGACTTCCCCTCCTGGATTTGAATGCCAAGAGTGAGTAAACAAGAAAATCATTTAATCTAAGATTGCCATTGGTCTCTATGTTTATCTGTACATCAGAAAATAAATATTAGCCTCAAATATTTTCTTTTGTTGCTGGTGTTGTTAGGGGCCATGGAGTCTTCTCTGACTCAAAGATACTCCATGGACAACAGTTCAAAACTCTGCCCCCTCCCCCATCATCCTCACAATCTCTGTTGTGTTTAGCAGTTCTGTTTATTCAAAACTTTAAATCAGGCTAGGTAATGACATTTCCCAGCTGGGAACACAGACAGGATGCTACATGTTTCTAGAAGATAATGTATCAATCTTTTATTTATGCTTTGAAGCAACCTGGCATGGAGAGAGATAAGTAAACTAGAAGCCAGAAACTAGATGAATTCCATTATGATTGTCTAAATGTGCAACCTTGAGAAAATCACATGGTTCTTTCATGTTCCCTTTGCCTTCTCTCTCCAAAAGCAACACCAGTATTATCAAGGACCTCATTAATGACATAACTGAGTGCCCACTGTGTGCCAGATCTATACCGTAGTAAGAACTATGGGCCACACAGACTATTTTCCAATCCAAACTCGACCATATGCTAGATATGTGACTCTGATTAAATTTTAATTGCCCTAAGATTCAATTTCCTTATATGCACGTTTATTCAAATGTTAAATAACATTTTTGTTGTTTTGTTGTTATGTGCCATGGAGTCACTTCCGACTCATAGTGGCCCTATGTACAACAGCCCTAAACCCTGCTCTGTCCTGTGCCAATCTTACTGTCTCCAACACACCCACCTCAATTACCCCAGTCACTGAATCAATCCACCTCATAGGGGGTCTTCCACTCCTAGGCTGTCCCTCCACCCTCCCAAAAATGACATCCCTCTCCAAGGACCAGTCCCTCCTTGCAACATGTCCAAAGTATGTCAGACAAAGCCTCAGAATCCTTGCCTCCAAGGAGCAACCTGGTTTAACCTTCTCCAGGGTGAATCTGTTTGTTTTCTTAGTTGTCCATTGTACATTCAATACTCTTCTCCAGCACCACAGCTCAAAGGCTTCAATTCTCCATATATTCTTCCTAGACATTGTCTAGCTCTCCGATGCATAGCAAGTGATTGCAAAGACCATGGCCTATATCAGGCACACCTTAATCTCCAGAGTTACACCAAATGTTCTTCAGTACCCTGGAGAGGTCCCTAACAGCAGACTTTCCCATAACAATACATCTTTTAATTTCCTGGCTGCTGGTGCCAAGAGCATTGACTGTGGAGCCAAGGAAACTAAAGCTGTGAACACTCTCAATCTCTTCACCATCCATCCTGACGCTTCCAGTTGGCCCAGTGTATTTAAAAAAAAGGGGGGGGGGAGAAAAAGGCATGTAGCATTGTTGTTGTTGTTGAGTACCATTGAGTCAGAACCAACCCATCCATAGATGACCCTCCAGCAGGTTTACAGAGGCAGGTAAGTGCACAGAAGGAGAATGCCCATTCTCTTCCTGCCGAGCAGCTGCCGGGTTTGAACCACCTGCCTTCAGGATTGCAGTGATGTTTCTTGCCAGTAGGCCTATTAAAATGACTTATTTTCATATTTAATTATTAAAACACACATCGTACTGCACTGGGTAAGTCTTCAGTAGCTGTTTGGATAAGAAAGGAAAAAATGCAAAGTAAGAAAGGAAGGGGAATCACAAAGGACCGAGGGGAGAGGAGAAGGAGCAAAGAGAAAAAGAGGAATATGGAATGGAGAAAAATGAGGGGGAAATCTTCCTTTCCATTGATTAATCCTCACAGTTTATCCGTGGAAAGAACCCGGTGGTTTCATTTTCAACCTTCTGTCCCCATGATCTGTTTCTGTTCCAAATGATCTCCATGTAGATGATTAGCTCACTATTTTCTTCCTAATTTCAGTATCTTCAATTGCTATCTGCCTACACTTCATATTATTTCAATAATTCAGTTGTGCTAAAAATCTTAGAACAGCTTTGCTGAAGATTTACAGCCAGAGATAAAATAAAACCACTATTCCTTTTTATTGCCGTGTCAAAATATTATAGTTTAGCATTAATTGTTCTAATAAGTGAACATCCTGGGAAGCAGACTCTTCACTGTGTCTCAGTTTAAATGCTTCTTTTAGCCCTGGCTCAGTTGCTATAACCTTCCCATATACCTGATAATAGAAGCATCCTAAGGGGGGAAATAGGCACTCACTAGATAGTAAATGAAGAACCTCCCACTACAGCTGAATCAGTTTGGTTTTTACTCCTCAACCAGAAAGACTAACTCAGTGACTGGGGTAATGGGGGTATGTATGCCAGAGACAATAAGGTTGGCTCAGGACAGAGAAGGGTTTGGAGCAGTTGTACATTAGGTTGTTATGAGTTACAAGTGACTCGATGGCACATAACAATAACTTTGACTCCATCCACTGGGCCTGAAGGAGGTAGTCATGTTTCATGGTAGAATTTTTGCCTTCTGTGAAAGAGATCTGAGTTCAACTTTCTAATCAATGTATCTCATGGACAGCCACCAGGCACCTGTCAGTGTTACCATGATACTGAATCTATTCTAGCAGAGTTTTAAGAGAAAAGTGGACTAGGAAAAAAAAAAAAGATCTGGTGACCTACTTCCAAAAATCAGTCAATAAAAACCTCTGAGGATCACAAAAGTCAGAATCCTCGCCCATTTGGGGATTGTACAGGACAGACATTGCTTTGCCCTGTTGTACTCTTGTCCTCATGATCCGGGATCCACCCAAGGCTGTAAACAACCCTACCTGAGACTAACCCATGGAAACACGAGCCAAGAAAATTATCCCCGAGTCCTCTGTGTATTAGAACAAGCAGAAAACCACACATGTTTCTCGTGAGAAGTCCAAGTTCTACCTTCTCAGGATCTTCTTTTTCACTTCCTCTCTTTTCTACACAGACTATGGCTTCTAACCTGGAAAAGTTAATTACTTTTGCAGAAGTTACTGCTTTTGAACTCCAAGGCCAAAGAGCATGAGGAAGTACAGGAGAGGCACCTCTAGGACAGTCAGAAACCAGTCTCTGACTGTCTCACATTCAAATAATATAGTCTTGAGCTCTGGACCTAGGTCAAATAAGTAACATATGAATCAATCCAATGGACACACAGTAAGGCCACCTGGGGGACATCTAAGGGAGGAATTAACCAAGGTCCTCACACTGGGAGGGAAGAACATGCAGAGCCATCCATCCATTCTCCCAAACATCTGCAATGATTAGCACTTGGAGCTGAAGTCCTCAACAGACAATTCAGCCTTAAAACGAAACAAAGAATTTATATATTATTATCAGTTGAACCAAGAAAGAAGTATACTCTGACTACATTCATTTTCCTGTTTTTATCTCTTCCTGGAGTCAATAAACACTAAATTTAAAATATGCTTGGTTTTCTTTCCTGTTACTCACAATTTTTTTCTTTTGGTTCTCTTTCCTAAGTGAATTTTAATCTAAATTTATTTTGTTGATGTAAAATAATTCTTTCTACAATCTTTCTTTTAACTTCTAAGAGCTTATTATTCTTTGAATCTTTATATTATCCATTACTTTTTAATCCTTCTTTAATACCTGAAAATACTATAGATATTTTTAAGGTTCTTCTAACAACATTAACTGTCTTTTTCAGCTGACTTATTCAAAAGAAGCAGATACCTATGAATGTTCACTGGTACCAATTTTTATATTTTCAGTCATGTCATATGGTGTCATTGGCTGGAGCAAATTGTGAAGTACACAACAACCAGCTGAAAAGTTGGAAGTTCAAACATTTCAAGACATATCTAAAGAGACAGGTCTGGCAATTTGCTTCCA